AGAACATGTAGACTGCGGGAACGTCTCAAAAACTTCAGCACACTTTTCTCTTTAACGTGAGATGTTTCAGGTTTGTGAGTGTATGACCGTTCAAAATAAGAAAAAAAGATGTAAAAAAATTGTTACGAAATTTCACTCCGGCAGCAAAGTTAGCTGTCCAAACCGTAAAGATAATATGACTTAAAAGTAGTTACTCTGCAAAGTTTAGTTGGGTTTTCTGCTGACATTATATTATTCTGCCGCTAAGTCATTTTCTTCTTGTCATTTTAGTGCTTTATCTAGTACTTCTCGACAAAATGGAACTAATCGATATCAGAATGATCTTAACTTGATTGATAATAATCAGAAACAAAATGGAACAATGAATGATGTTAAACCTGATCAATCAAAACTAAACACTATACAAGAACTCAATATGAAGCCCAACGATGTTATCAAGAAAGAATTTCGTAAATTAGCAAATCCATCCGCTAAAAATCCATCGGCCGCACGGTATTATTGCTTTAACGAATATTCACCAGTAAATACAGTTTTTGTCATCTATTCATTTTATAGTGAGGTAAAAAACATCGGAAAAAATCGTTATCGAGACGTTATTCCTGGTGATGATACAAGAGTTGTCCTTCTACCAGATGAATTAGACAAAGATGATTTTATTAATGCCAATTATGTCACCGGCTATAAACAAGAGAAAGCATATATTTTTGCTCAAGGTATTCTATCATTGTATAATATTTCGTATGCATTAATCACTCTTCCCATGATGAAAAAAGTGTGTGAGATGAAGTGAGAGAATGGTAAACATTTGACATATCTTTTGCAGGTCCACTAGAATCAACTGCAAAAGATTTTTGGAGAATGATCTGGCAGCAGAAATCAGGTGTGATTGCAATGACAACAAACGTAAAAGAAGGAGGAATCCCAAAATGTTTTCAATATTGGCCACTTGAAAATCGTACTAGACAAACGTATGGAATGTATGCCGTGACAAATGAAGAAGGCAAGCCAGGAGAGAATTTCAATATAACAAAATTAACAATAAGAAAAAAAAATGTGGTATATAACGATCTATCTATAAAATATTAAATATTCTCTATTTGTTATTTTTTTCAAGGATCAGCCTTTGACAGTTTATCATTGTCATTTTACCAAATGGCCAGATCACGGTATTCCGTCCGGTACTGAGTCTGCTTTACAATTTTTAAAAGAAGTTCGGACATTGCATCGAAAAACAAATCTAAAAGTTCCAATTGTTGTTCACTGTTCTGCGGGAATTGGACGAACAGGTATAGTGAAATGGTCACTTTTTCCTATATAAAACTATTAACATTGTCCATTGATCTTTTTCAGGAACATTTTGTACTATTGACATTAATATAAGACGATTTCGGGTAGAAAAAACTGTTGATATACCATCAACCGTTATTAATATGCGTAATGAACGTGCAGGTGCAGTTCAAACAGAAGATCAATACTTATTTTGCTATCTAGCATTAACCGAGTTTACACTATTAGATGAAAACAAATTACAATTGTTAGACGAAGAAGAAACAACTATAAATGTAGTTCCATCTCCGTCGTCGTCTAAGCGTATTATTATTCCATCATTGGACACAAGAAGTACAGCACCCGTTACCACAATGACGGAAGGAAATAATAGGGATGTAGTTCAGTCACGTTACTCTAAATCAGTCTTGAGTGACACGTCAATACCAATGAGATTCGAAACAGACGCAAGCGAAGAGGATCATGAAGCACAAATAAAACGTAATAAATCGCGTACCGTTGATTTATTGCCTAAAATATCACGATCAACGCATAACCCAGTTGAAGGTGGCTATATCGAACCATTTCATTTTGAAGTCGATTATAGATATGGAAGAACTGTCTACCAGGAAAATGGAATAGAACCTTTGTACAAACAAACTGCAACACAAATAAGTAATCAACAGCAGACATCAATGAGTGATAATATTGATAATGTTCCAGGTAAATCTCATAATTCCAAAAGACAAATAAAAGTTAATAAAAATGCAACACTAACTTTTGATGCAGAACAATATGAGTTCGACAGAGAAAATTTAGATTATAATAATGATGACGGAAAAACTCCTAAAACAAGCCGAATACCGAAATTACTAGTATTCCAAACTCCAAAAACGCCTGATACATTAACCAAAAATGAGAAAAATCCATTAACACCTCGTTCAAAAGTCAAAGAAAGAACATCATCGCCAGACACCGCTACATCACAGACTTCCATTTATTTGTCAAAACCGACAAATGTACCAGTATTATCAACACCAATATTTTCTTCGACTGAACAAGAGCCAATTCTTTCGCAAGACGATGAAAGTTTTCTAAAGGATTATGGTTCGACTTTAAAGGGTACAGCACCGAAAAAACAACGTATCTGTAGAAAACCACGAAAACATGACTCTATGAAGGAATAATAAATATGCTCTCCTTCATCTTTTTTGTTGGTTTCTATGTCTTCGTAGATCTTTCTCAGGTTATTTAAAAATTAAATGTTCGGTGAACAAAAAATCTATTTTTCTATATTTACTCCGTTTAACCTGCGAATGTTTGTTCTAAATAAAAAAAAGTAAAGAAATCACGTTGCCTCTTTTCCCATGTATCACTATTATTTGATAGACGTTGAAACGTCGTGACTTTCTTTTAATTGAACAAAAACCTTTTTTAAAACATGTATTTTATATATCAACATTTTTCTTTTTGTTATTTTTTGTTTATCTGTTGTTGACATTGTTGTTTTTTCTGCCATATTTTGTAATTAATGTTTGTTTGTGTGTAAAAAACATAGAAGAACAGCACTATTAACTATATGAATGAAATTTAAACTTGTACGTCTACAATGACAATCATTAGATACATTTTCTTGTCAATTATTTACCTTAAAATTGATCATTGAATTCAACGTTCTGTTTCTATTGTTATTCTCACAAAATGAAATTTCTATGCTTTAAAATTTACCTAATTCACCATTAGAAAAATATGACGAATTATGCTAAGCTAAATGGTCAACGAACATGAACAACCAGTATTTCCTTAACTTTTATATTAGAAAAGAAGTAGTTTGTTTATAATCATGGGTAATATTCTTATTGTAATGAATGGTCATATGTAATATAAGCCAAATATGATTGCAATAATCAGCTAAAAACAATTTTTCAGCGACAGAAAACACGTGCTTGTATTTATCCATTTGATTTGGTTGTAGATTTACGAAGAAGCAAGGGAAAACGCCATGCATCTATCGATGTGTGTAAGCTTATGTTCATTAAGTCCGATGCTAAAAGTAAAGTATTTACTTCGCTCGAACATGGGTCAAAATGGCAGATTTCTCCTGTAAGAAAACAGCTGGAGAACTCGGACTGGTTTTAAAATATAAAATGAAGTTGGAGTAACGATGTAAAAGAGCCGGATTTTTAAATTTTTTCTTTGTTTTATTTTCCGAGGGCCATGTATGGCCGAACGTTTGCGACATTCTACTCTTCGATCTTATCCATTCTGCGTTTTCACTTTCGGTGTTCTGAGTTTTCGACCAAAGGCATACATACCATATATTCTAAGCAGTTCTCTTCTAAAGCAAGTTCTATATACTTCAACACAAAGCCTTATAATATAAAAATACATTTACTGAAGCCATGATACAGTCTATTCTACTTATCTTATCTTATTTATGTGCGTGACAGAAATTTTATTTTCTATCAAACACAGAAAGAGAAAAAATACATGCTTTACTCTAAAAATGGATCTTATTTTCGGCGTAAGAAAATCTTGATTTCGAAGTAAATTTTTTCAAAAATCAGGGGGAGGGATGGAGGAAGGGATCGGGGAGCTCCTGCTAAAAACAGGCTGTACCGATAACTATATAAAAGTGGAATTTCTTTTGTTTATATCTTGGTCTAGGAAGAGAAGTAGACCAAGAGTCCATATTTGGAGCATAATTAGTCGAGGTCGAGTACTATCTATAGCCAAGAGCATGTGCAAAAATAACTGGCGCACGTGTGCGAAGGAATTTACCTAGCGCGAAGACTTTTGCATAATTTTTTTTACTTGAAAAATATGTTATTGCATTTAATATTACTTATATCTATTGTACAAGTGTATTTCTAAACAAAAAAAATCAGACTCTGATTGAACAACTTAGGTCGTCCCTAACGTGCAATGGCTCATAAAAAGAATTCCCAAAAACTCGATCTACAAACATTCTGCAAAGATGTTTACAGATTTCGACTGCAGAAATACCACTTGGGTTGACGGCCTAAATCAAAAATCGGACTGTTTTACTTGTTCCCAACTGAAGCTAACGAGGGAATCTCTTGAGGTTATAAATCGCTTTTGAACCCGGACTGCTTGTATCTTGTAGACCTCAGTGAGTAGTGAAATACCCTAAGTTGGTTCATCCCCATGGTGCTTTGTTGCTGAGATATTGAATTTTTAGTCAGTTTTTGCCTAT